TTATACTCACACACACACACACACACATATATATATATATATATATATACTGGCTCAACAAGTCCCATATTAATGTTGACTGAAATATTTTTTTATAACTACAAAAGTAAATAAAATATCAACTTAAACATTAAAGTTAAAAAATACGTTAATTACTTAAAAACACATCTAAAAAACACATTTGATTGTTATTAATTGTTTTAATTATCATGTAGACTAAAAAGAACACTTACTTAATAATTTTATTTTTAATGTACGAAAACGAAAAACGCACGTGTTTAATTATTAACAACCGGACATAAATTATTGTATTAAGCACAGTAATCTTTGCCTTTGTGCTATCTTACGCAAGTATAGACGTATCTATATATATTATATCTGGCGTTAACAATAAAGCACGCGCCGCGAACAACACCTACCGTTGGGACCGTTATATCTTATAATTTTTTTGTTAATACAAACGTATTTACATATTCAATTAACAAATTGTTGGACCAAAAAATTTTATTTAATTCAATCAAATACATCTTTTAGTGTAGGATAGACTTGGGCTAGTTGCGCATAGGGGCAAGTTGGGCAAATACAAATATCTAAATAACCAAAATATTAGATGTAGTAAAAAGTCATCGCGTATTTTTTAGCTCAAAGTTGTATATACAATATCTTCGTCAATAATGAATAAAATTCAAATTTAAAAAAAGGGTTTTAAAGCTTGAAATCTCTACTTTTAAAAGCTTATCACATTTTTTAAGTTTATATGAGTTTGATAATTTTTACATACCAAAAACTACGAGCTGAAAAAGACGAAAAATTTTCTTCTCACTTTGTGGATTTGTAACGTGTCCAAAACGAATTTGAGAAAATTTTCGATTACCTATCGTGAAAACTTGATACTTTCCCTTCAAAATCGTTTTTTTTTTAATATTCCTACGACTTTTGATTACTGAGTTATCGCGGATTAAATAAAAGAATTATTTTGACTTTAATTGCTCATAACTCCATTAAAAATTGTCGTATCGTATAATTTAAAAAAGAGATTTTTAAAGCTGAAACTTTACTCTATCAAGATATATTTATATTGTTGATAAGAAAGTAATTGCGGTTTTTACTGATAGATGTCTTTTAAAAATACGCGATGACTTTTTACTACACCTAATATTAATCAAAACATTTAATTGAATCTATTTTAAATAGCTATTACTGTTTTTTTTGTGTACGACATAGCGCTTTATACATAATGGCTACGTTTAATAGAGAAACTGAATCAGTTAGCGTTTAGTGATTCTTTAATATGATTCTTTAATAATATTGGTTCTTGCCTTTAGTTCTTTTGCTGGATCTAATGTAGAAACCAATCATATTAAAGAACCATTAAGTACTAATTAATTAGTTTCCTCTACTGGATGCAGCCAATGTAATTGCACGTAAGCCTCGGTAGTATCAATTAGAGACAGGTCTCAAATCGAAGAGTGAACTCTTTCGAATCCCCATTATGGCTTCTGCAGTTGACTGCAAGCGTTAAAGGTTTCCTATCCCGATTTTAACGTTCTCACATTCAATTTTAGTTAGATGCATCAAAACATATTCATAAGAAAATTTTGTATAAAATTTTATAAATATTAACATACAAATCTGTTTTGACCAACAAAATGTAAATAAAATACTAATCATGAATTTAATTTATACAAATTTTTACGTTAATATTACAAAAATTTCGAACTAAATTGTTAAGCCAAAAGAACGTATTTCTTTATATCCAAACAAGCTAATTTAATTAAAATGCAGTATAAATGTATATGAATATTAATATTAAGTTAAAAAAGATAATTACAATTGAATATGATGTAATTCAGGTTAAATTCTTATTATCCGCCTCATATAATAAAAAAATAAATAAAAATAGTATTTATATTAATATTTATTTTAAAAAAACTAGTACTTACCGTCGTCAACGATTGTCATATCGAAGACATCGCTTACGAAAGTAAAATTTTCGCCTGCTATAGTGAAAGAAGTGTCAGTATGTTTCATATACTCAGATTCGACTC